AAAGAAAATAAATCTCCAAGAAAAAAATGCACTTAAATGTGCTGTTGTTTTATTATTTTTTTTCTTTTTTGTGCATGCGGTTATTCATTCCACTACCTGCCTTGTCACAGATCAAACAAAACTCAGCCTCAAGTCTTGGCAAAATATGTGTAAGTGTTCTTGGAGGCTGTATTTATGTCCCCTCCATCTGCACTCCTCCCTTGTCACCTCTCAGTTTCTGCAATGTTCAAGGCATGGGGGAAGAAAAACCCCGCAGTTATCACAGTGCAGAGTTATGTCCTGATCTTAGAGAGATGCACTGGCTGCAGCTTCATTCATTTCGAGGGGATCCGTCCAAGCGCAGTCCAGTCGTGCTGCATTTGAGGCTGCAGTGTACTGAGCGTTTTCTGCCTGTCCTTTTGTAAGGATGGGGTTTTTCTATGCATGAACTCCCCCTGAAATCAAGCTTAGGTTCTTCAAAGCACCAGACTCCTCCCAATTGCCCCCAAAACTCTGCAGCGGCAACATATTTGCAGGCCCTGAGCTACCTCACGCAGTAGCATTTGCTTCCCAGCCTTTGGCCAGCACAGGCAGTGCTGCTGATAGAGGGGTTTGAAATGTCCAGTGAGCTCTGTAACTAGTTGACTGATTTCATTAACCAGTCATGAAAGGCATAAGCATGCCTGCATGGAAGGGCTCATACAGCAAAGCTTGTCTCCCTAGTAAACAGCTTGCTGCATCTCTATTTATTCATCTGAACTTGGCTGTAAAATGAAGGCCGTGTGTATTGATTTTGCTTTTGTCAGTGGTCCAGAATTGTTAGCACACATTTTCACTCTTCTGAAAAACAACAGACTCTTTAGAGAAATCTTTCTCTCTCGCGAACTGCTTTTTCCAGAAATGGAATCAGCTTATCAAAAATCATCAGGACAGCCGAGGTAGGGAAAGCGATCTAGGCTGGAGCTGGCTTCATGCATTTCCAAAGATCACAAACTTACCTTAGCTTTCCTGAAAATTTGCCCACCTTACACTTTCTTAACAACTTACCCTAAAATTCATAATCTGAACAACTGCTTTGGACAGTTGAATCAGTTCATTGTTTGCTATTTTAAAAATATCTACAGCTGCATATCTGGGGAGAAATCTCCAAGTACACATAAACCTTCAGCAAAATGTAGACCAAATGGTACAATACATTATGCAAAAGAAACCTGCTTTATTTTTGAGGCCAAATCCATCCCTTGTACGATGCCAACAAAATGAATGGAATTACACAAAGGATGTAAGAAGGTCCTTCACAATTAACAGAAACCCAGCAAAGGCTTGCAGAGCGGTGCTCGCTTGCTGCTGACATTATTTATTACACACTATGACCTAACAGTGAAGCCAAGCTCTTTCCTGGAGAGCTCACCATCAAGGAGCCAGACAAAGAAAATCCGGATGCAATGGGAGATACAGGGGAAGGTTCCTGCGTGCAACAGCAATCACTCCAGCTCTTGCACACATGCATTTTTGAGATGCAGAGACTCTTCATGAGCAGAGTGAGGCAGCTTTGCCTCGGGTCTCTAAGCAGCTGGTCCAGTGTGCATCCCTTCACACTGCCAGGGCATGGAGGGAGTTTGCTGTGATCAAGCCACATGGGTCCTTCTGCTGGCACTGAATTCTTGTCGCCAGCGAGAATTTTGCCCTTGCGATAAGAGGGCGTCTGTGTGCTGCAAACACTCTGCATTAATTACTTCCTGTGTTGTCTTATATGATTTTGAGGGCTTTATCTTTTTCAGAACCACTAGAGATGTCAGTATTTGAGTGGCCCAATTCTGTGAATAAGAAGGTCCCTCAAATTGAAAACATTTCATGCTTTTTCCATGCTAAATGATAGAAATAAATTTGCTTTGTTCAAATAAGCACTGTGTGCCAAATTTGCAAGGATGCTTATCCGAGTGAGATATCCCATTCTGAGGTCCATATTTGGACACCCAAATCAACACTCAGCCAAACACATGCATGAGGCATTTCAGTGCCATTTGGAGTGTCCATATATAGAACTGGATGCCCTAACTTCATTGCCTTTGTTTTAAAAATAGGCCTGGAATATGTAAAGGCATCATTTAATAACAACTATGACAAACATTCTGTGTTCAAACTAAGAACAAATTTGCTGGTGCTAGTACAGGTTGATTCCCCTGGAATCACTCTGGATTCACAGATACATAACTCAGAATAAGAAATGGGCCCTTAAGCTGCTTTGCCTTTCACTCCTGCCCAAAGCTGACTTGATGTTTGGGATCTGTGAGTATGGGAAGATGGTGCTTGGGCAGTGTCCACATGCACGCATGCAGCAGAGAGAGAGAAAGAGTTGGGAATTGAGTTGAACCTGCTTCATATTGAACATAACTGCTCATATGTTTTGCATTGGGTATAAGAGGTTTACACAGGCTTGCACACATTTTACTTGTCATTTATGTTGTACTGGGCAAAGAAATAAACCTAGCACCCCTGGAATATTTCCCACAAAGCACAGGATACACCAGCAAAGCAAACAGAGCTGTGAAAAATACAGCTGAACAGCAGCTCCTGGCTGTTTTCTTCCAGAGACAGTGTGAGCACAGCCCCTTGGAGGTGTGATGGATGCTGGCTGCAGGTTGCTGCACCACCTCCGAGGGAGATGGGGTCTCTTGATGCAGGGATGCTCCTCAGCCTGTCATGTTGGCCAGTCAAGACCTGTTGGGACTTGAACTTCTGTGACACAGCCATGAGGAAAAAAAAAAAAAAAAAAAAGTAGCTTAGGCTACTGACAGCCTCTTTTCTCAAAGATGTTCCCTGGTGTTTAAAGCATCACCCATCTACTGGAACAGGTGAGTGTCCCACCCACGTCACCCTCTGCTCTACTGAAATAGTTTTCCAAGGACATATAAAACACAGAGAGGTAGCCAGGTGCAGTGACCAGGCCCTTTCCTTACAAATGATGCAAGCATCTAAAAGTTGTGTGTCCCTACATCAAATGCCCATGCACCTGGCTGTCACAGGAGAAGGGGCGGCCTCGCCTGTACCTCCTGTGTGGGGCTCGCTGGCATCCAGGCAGCCCACGCTGCAGGTGGGACACTGCCCAAGCTGGGAAGGAAAGCTTAGTTATTATTACCTGACAAGATAGCTGAGGACAGAGATGTGTTGCGATTGCCACCCCTCAGCAGGCCTACTTTTTCTTTGAAGGACCATGATGGACTTATTTAGTAAAAGGCTTGAGGAAGAAGTAACGCTGCCTTCTTTCATAAAAAAAGCATTGTGGTTAGGGGGCTTGCCGAGGGGCCAGGAGACCCAGGTTCACTCCCCTTCTCCAGCTGAAGGAATTGAGCCCACATTGGCCCATGCAGAAAGAACAAGGTGTTGAGAGAGGCTGTCATCGCTTCCCATGCCCCAGGCCAGGATCGAGGAGATACAATCTCTCCTGGCCTGCCCACTGGGACACGAGCTGTGCCAAGAAGGAGAGGTGCTCTTCACTCCTGGTGGAAGAGGCGCGAATACGACATCCGCAGGGCCAGGAAGAGGGAGCACAGCCCTTGAGTTAGCACTTCGGTCTCTCTCCTGGAGCAAGGACATCCGCTTCTGCCCCCAGAATGGCTTCAGAGTTGCTGCAGTAAATACTGACCCATTACAGAGCCCATCTCTGAAGCAAAGGGAGCCTTCCCTCAGCTGGCTTGCAGTGTCCGCCTCAGCGTGCTGCAGCCCCGGGTTCCTCCACGCTGCTGGGTCCCAGCAGAGCCAGGCGGGGAGGGCAGGCAGCCCAAGAGGTCCCAGCGCTGGTGGCATCACCTAGCTGGCTTTAGAGCAGGGGAGCGCACCAGGCTGGCAGGGTGGCACCAGCAGGCCTGCCCCACATTTGGTTTGTGATTCTGAGCCTTCACATTACCTGCCCTCTCCTTCTGGGGTACCTCAGGAGATGCGCTTTTCAGTTCTTGCCAAGGGAGATTGATGCATTGCCTCCCAATTGCTAGCATGGTCTTTGGCATGACAGGCATTGCCCCATACGTGAAACGCAATGTTTGGAGGGGAAAACATGACTGGGGAGCAGCCCGCTATTTAGCTCACAGGTATCTTTCTAAGCAGGCGCCCAGGCGCTGAAGCAGGGCTGGATGCTGGGGAAAGCTGGCTGCTGCTCGCCTGCGAGAGCGGTCCGGCGAGATGATTTACAGGCAGGGTCAGGTAGAGGAGCTGACACAAACGGGTCAGAGAGGACGGGTGGCAGCCCACAGGCTTATTGTCGGTCGATGTCCAGGGAACAGGGCGGGAAGCAGGGGGGAGCGTGAGTCGAATTCCTTAATAACGTGAATTATAAAATCGTTTCCTGTGTTAGGGGTTAGGAAAGAGAGCGAAGGACCCGGAGATCTTCCAAACAGAAAACAGCTTTTGTTAAGGCTTTTGGCCTAAGGAGTTTTGGGAGGGGGTGGGGGGGGTGGGAAGGGAAAGTGCTGGCACATTTTTGGCTGGGAGCCTCAGACAACATATTTTTT